TGAACTCTTGGAATAATCTACCAAGGAGTTTTGTAACGACACTGAGTGTGAGCTCATTAAGACCAGACTTGACCAACACTGGCGCAGGTACAGAGACATTCTGGAGCCAGTACTTGGCAAAGCGGCTAACAGTCCGATCAGCGGTGGAGAGGATAAACTAAAGTAAAAGTAAAGACCTCAGACCAGCAACATCACCTTGGACGTCCCGCTACTCGCCACAGGAAAGGGTCAGATAACAACACAGGAGTTTCCATCCATAATTGCAGTAACACCGGTAATTCCCTCACAACTAGCCCTCTCCTTCACGATGTAACCCACATGTGGTGTCTCCTCCAGCTTACACTCATAACTATCCAACTGCCATCCAACAAACGCCAATAAAGAATCATAAAAAGCTCAAACAGGACATTAAGACTAACTAAACCAACTACAGTAAACCAGAGGACCCAACATATGAAACACATGCAGCAGGCAGGCACTGGAGACAGCCACGCTCGGTGCACAGTTACCGCAACAACAAGGGGATGGATCCAAGAAGTTGTGTGTGGGGGAACATGGCGAGCACAACTACCCCACCCAGCTGGATTTTTTGGGGGGTGGGGGGAGGAGTTGTCGCTGCAAGCCCGGCATTGTTTGTTTTTTGTTTTTTTGTTTTTTAAATCTGACCAATATTCTGAGGTTAATAGTAATTACTTTTTACTATACAAAAACGTCTGAGTACAATACTGCATTCAAGAAAAGTATTGGAAATTTTGATGAAAATGGGAGGAGTACTGACACCCCCCCCCCCAACCCCTGGATCGACCTCTGCAACCACTGTAACTGGAAACAAACACTGGCCCCAGATCTCTCAAGATACATTAGAGTCATAAGTTTCCCCTACCTCTAAGACTAAAGTCATGGACAGCCACACGGAACCTACACTACTGACCTCTGGCAGTACGGAATTTTTTTAACAGCAATAGGGGTACTTAACTGCATATGATTTTTTAAGTAATATTTATTTATTTATTTTTTTAACTTATTCAACGTCTTACTTTATTTATTACATATCATAGTTTTAACATGTGATTTTCCTCATTGCCAGTGGTCACTGTACTAGTGTAGGTTCAGTGCAGCTGCCCGCGCCGCGACTTAAGTCCAGGGTACCTCTGCCCCCGCACACTCTACTCCTCGACGGATATACCACCATCAACACACGCCTCCACCGGGACTTCACCATCATGATAATATTGTCTCCTCACCGCCTTCTGAAACGCTTTTTCAGTCCTTCTACACTCTGACTTGGCTTGGTTCCTGAATGCATAATTTCTTAACTTTATCAACCGCCGCAAGGTTCGTGCGTTACGGTTTCCTTGTATTCCTGGGGCCACTGGGTTTGGTCTTGGGTCAGTATATCTATCAATCTAATAGTTCACTTTACTCTTTATGATATTCACGGTAGTATCCGCGTTTTTATATTTCAACGAGTCAGGTCAGTGGATACCCTTCATCTCCTCCCTCATCCCGTCATAATAGCCCTTGTAATATTTGAAACTTGGCCTGCTCTTATCATGAACCAAGTAGTTGTTAAATTTGTAGGACAACGTTACGTGGTGACTGGTGCCAACGGGGGCTAGGTGCTCCAGCTTGGCCACCATACCCTCTTCGTTAGTTATGATGAGGCCCAGTGGTTTGGGTGTTTGTTTACCTCTGTAGTGAATCGGATCTTTAACATGTTGGAATAAAAAAATAAAACATTCTGAGTTTATACAAAAAGACTTGCAGGATTATTAAGATAATCTAGTGTAATTTGATTCCTTCATGACATGGAGTTAGCTGGAGTTGAGCGCCGTTCCGTAGTCTGTTTGGATTAAAAAACTACAATTTGGAGATCTGTAGATACATTCAGTTCTTCTCAAACATCTTCCCCCTGTATTCTCACCTGGTTGGCTCTAAGGTCCTGTCTAGTAAATATAACCACACCGCTCTAACAGGTTGCTTGAGAGAGGTTAAGTGAGACTTAACCATAAATGTGAAAATGTTACGTGTGCTCGTTTGCTTCTAATATTGATAATTGACCACCAGTTCATTCCTATTCCTATGTGTGATTAAGGTAAACAAAAATATATATTGTGCTTGAAATATTTTACTGACATGTTCGTGTGTGGGTTACAAATCAATGTGCTTTATATCTTATCCTTCATGAAATTTTTGTCATTACACTTGAAAACCTCACGTGAACCCCCCGCCCCCCCGGAAATATTCGCCGGTCAGCTCATGAATACCTGAAACTGAATTGATTCAACGCAGCCCAAAAATAGTATTTTTAAGCGATTTTCCAAGTTTCTTCAGTAATTCCGGGTGTATGACTCAACAATTATCAGGCTAATTAGTAATTCTGTAAGTTAATCAAATAATTCCTACATTATTCAGTATTTTTCTAATTTAGTGATTTCTTTTCAGAAATTCTTTACGCTCCTCAGTACTGTTTATCTTAATGCAATTCCCTATCAGATGGAAGTGTGGATACTCCAGTAATACTTCTCTCCATAACCCCCCCTCCCTCACCCACAACAAAACATAAAGTTCACACGTCACATTTATAGTTAAAAGTGTTATTCTACTCTAATGCTAAAGAACCTGTTCTGTTACCATACACATAGCCTTCATGACAATGTGCATTGGTAGGATCCGGAGTCGGACTGGCCATTGAGCCATGGGCCATGAGCCCCCCGCAGTCGGTCATTATGGGCTCTCCTTTCCTCCCACTTATTAAAAAAAAAAAAAAAAAAAAATCTTCGAAATTAATTCAGGTATTACCCTGATTTTTAAATTCTAACTACACTGAGCCAACGACACGTGCACCAGGGGATGTTATTGCCAAGGTCTCTTCTCTCTATTAATTAATGGTGTACTGATGGATAGCCCAGTGAACACGACTATCAGGAGATGACCAGACGAGTGAATGATTCTTCTCAAAAAATGATAAACCTGGTGACTAATGCATATGTCATGGATGGCTATCAATACTAGCGGGGTGGAATGGGCCCCAACTATCAATACTAGCGGGATGGAATGGGCCCCAACTATCAATACTAGCGGGATGGAATGGGCCCCAACTATCAATACTAGCGGGATGGAATGGGCCCCAACTATCAATACTAGTGGGGTGGAATGGGCCCCAACTATCAGTACTAGTGGGGTGAAATGGGCCCCAACTATAAGTTCTAGTGGAGTGAAATAGGCCCCAACACAAAATTAAATGGCACGGCCCCCAAACAGTGCCCAGTCCGCCTCTGGTAGGATCACAAGTAGTAGTAAATAACAAGGCAATGTTGAACCACGATTTCATTCTCATATACCACATGGTAGTAATGGTCGTAATACTTATATGGCAAAGGTGAGAAAAAGAGAGAGAAAATAGTCAATATACACTCATAACTCCATACCATAAAACTCATTGTTCAAGGCATGGAAAAAGTAAGTATACTATTGACTGTATTGTCAAGGGAGGCGACCTATTCCTGCCTCCCTGCACACATTCTCCGGGACAGTGGTAATAACAACGCAGTGAATGGAAGACGCAATGTGATCAGTGAAGAAATTTTATTCACATATTCTTCATCATATTACACGAAAACAAATACCCTGTAATAATAATTGTATAAATGGGGTAAAAATAGAAAAATTTTTGTAAATGGGGTAAAAATAGAATAAATTGTATAAATGGAGTAAAAATAGAATAAACTGTATAAATGGGGTAAAAATAGAATAAATTGTATAAATGGGGTAAAAATAGAATAAATTGTATAAATGGGGTAAAAATAGAATAAATTGTATAAATGGGGTAAAAATAGAATAAATTTTATAAATGGAGTAAAAATAGAATAAATTGTATAAATGGGGTAAAAATAGAATAAATTTTATAAATGGGGTAAAAATAGAATAAATTGTATAAATGGGGTAAAAATAGAATAAATTGTATAAATGGGGTAAAAAAAGAATAAATCGTATAATTGGGGTAAAAATAGAATAAATTGTATAAATGGGGTAAAAATAGAATAATAAGAGACTACTGTAGATCCTTACTTCATATACCACAGAAGTAACAATGACAAATTTAGGAACGACAGCTAAGTATAATGTTGATCCCTGATGATACTAGGAACAGGTGGTATAATGAATGTATTACTGGTAAGGAATCTATCAACGTATGTATTTAACTGAATCAAACCAACTGCAGCGAAACTCAGCGCATTTATGGAACTAGAGATTAAAGAAAAGTTATTTATTTTAGTTTTAACTGGGCTAAGGTTAAGGTCACAGAAGGTCAAAATAGGGCAAAAATTAGTGGTATTTTTTCTGGTGAGAGGTCAAGTTTAATCTACGCAATGAAAAGGCACATTAACTTCAAATTGAGAAAACGACTGCTGAAAGATTTTATATGGTAACGACTGACGTATGGGTCAGAAGTGTGGACACCTTCGGCAGACACCAGCAAGAGAGTTGGGGGCCTTTGAAATGTGGTGTTATAGGCTAATACTAAGAAGAAGCTACACAGACAGGAAAACAAATGAAGAAGTACTAAGATTCGCAAAAACTTCAAGAGAAATAATTGAAATGTACAGAAAAAGAAAAATGGGATATTTTGGTTATATAATTATGGACGAAGGGATAATAACAGAGATATTAATGGGCAAAGTTGAAGGTAGGAGGGCCAGGGGAAGGCAGAGACTGAGATGGATGAATGAAATTAAAAACTGGGTCCCCAGAGAGATGCAAAATCTTGGAGGATCGGTAAAAAACAGCCCGAAAACGTTTAGAGCGGAAGTACTCCACTTTAAACGTTCTTGGGCCAACCCTCAGATATCAGGACGGTACTCTGATTGAGTGAATTATGTATTCAAGATGATATATGAAAAAGCTAACTTGTTTCAATAAAAGTTTGGGTTTTCATAGAAAATTTGGTTATATCTGAGCCAAGTCAGGGTCACAATGGAAAGTCAAAATAAGGTGACTTATTGTTCGTCTTCGAGTGACTTGAACACGAGCATGATGTCATCTGTGGGTTTCATGGCCACCACGGACAATTTCAATTCTTCATGGCCAGGCGCCAGAGACATCTCAAACTTCAAGATCACCTTAGCCAATGCCAACTTGGCCTCCATGAAGGCGAACCTCATTCCTGCAAGAATATGAAAGACTATGAGAGAGAGAGAGACAGAGAGAGAAAGAGAGAGAGGGTCGTCACACCCAAGTGCAATGTTAACGTCACAAGCAGATCACAATAGAACACACAACTGCTGTGAAGAAGAACAAGAACAACTGAAGATATATGTTGCATATTAAGCTTTAGTAAGTTCTCATGACTTTACCAGATTATAGTATGAATTAAGCAGCTTGCAAAGATAAAGAAATAAATAAATTAAGTTACTTGTCTGTGTACAGTATAAAATTCTAAAATAAATATCTTCTCATGCGTATGGCCTTCCACTTTTTGTATATAAATTAATCAAGTCAAGTTGGTACAGACAGAAATCTGATCTCAGCTACAGCACTACTGTACGGGTGAACTATTTTAATTTAAAACATCAAATTGGTCCTAAACAATTCGGAAAAATGGTCTCACACATTAATAGTTCTGGATTCCAGACCAAAAGATAAAGTGATATCAACATTTAACACAACACAGAGACCAATCATCCAACCGGTCTGGGACTTACCGATGCAGTTTCTGGGTCCAAGACCGAAGGGAAGGTAGGTGCCGCTGATCACATTGTGATTGTTCTCGGGCAAGAATCGGTCTGGGAGGAACTGGTCTGGGTTGGTCCAATAGCAAGGGTCATTTTGAAGACTCCAGACAGGCACGGTAACTTGCTGTCCTTTCTTTAAGATAACGTCCGTACCTGGCAACCTGAGAGAGAGAGAGAGAGAGAGAGAGAGAGAGAGAGAGAGAGAGAGAGAGAGAGATTCACGTAAACTCAAACAATACTTTATAAAACACTGTATGACTGTACTGTATAAGTGCAAGGCTACAGGTGTATGATTTGTACAGGTGTATGACTGTATGGGATGTGTATTGATGCCCAAATCTGAGATCGTGTATACTGTATTTTTCCACCAAGGACAACTCCCTCCTCCTCCCACCACCCAGTGTCTTGTGTAAGGCAACCAATGACGTCAGCCCAATAGGGTGAGGTAATCTGTGATTGGGTGACAGTACTGGCCAACTTCTCTCGTATAACTGTATAGATGGGTGTATGACAATGGGTGGGTGCATGACTATGGGTGGGTGTATGACTATGGGTGGGTGTATGACTATGGGTGGGTGTATGACAATGGGTGAATGTATGACTATAGGTGGGTGTATGACAATGGGTGGGTGTATGACTCTGGGTAGGTGTATGACTATGGGTGGGTGTACGACTATGGGTGGGTGTACGACTATGGGTGGGTGTATGACTATGGTTGGGTGTATGACTATGGGTGGGTGTATGACTATAGGTGTGTGTATGACTATGGGTGGGTGTATGACTATGGGTGGGTGTATGACTATGGGTGGGTGTATGACTGTGTGTGTGTGTGTATGCCTATGGGTGGGTGTATGACTATGGGTGGGTGTATGACTATGGGTGGTGTGTGTGACTATGGGGTGGGCTATGGGTGGGTGTATGACTATGGGTGGGTGATTATTATGACTATGGCTGTATGACTATGGGGGGTGTATGACTATGGGTGGGTGTGACTATGGGTGGTGTACATAAGGTGGTGTATGACTATGGGTGGGTGTATGACTATGGGTGGGTGTATGACTATGGGTGTGTGTATGACTATGGGTGGGTGTATGACTATGGGTGGGTGTATGACTATGGGTGGGTGTATGACTATGGATGGGTGTATGACTATGGGTGTGTGTATGACTATGGGTGGGTGTATGACTATGGGTGTGTGTGTATGACAGTATGGGTGTGTATATGACATTATGGGTGTGAGTGTATGACTATATGGTTGTGTGTGTATGACAATATGAGTGTGTGTATGACTGTATGAGTATGTGTATAACAGTATGGGTGTGTGTATGGGAGTATGCGTGTGTATGTATGACTAACCTGTAGTCTTGAGAACATTGTCGTTCAATTACTACTGCTATCGGGTTGAGTCTCTGAGTCTCTGTTCGGGAATAATAATAATGATGATAATAATAATAATAATAATAATAATAATAATAATAATAATAATAATAATAATAATAGAATTACTACTTCTTCTACTACAGTAATAATACCCTTTCTTGGTCTTGTACTGTACATATACAATTCTCAAGATTCACAAACCCATAAAACATATTACCTGGCAGAGCAATTAACACACCTGAAGATATCTTTGTCAGGTTAGGTTAGGTTAGGTTTCCATTTAACTTTGAATTAAATATTAATGTAAAATATCAACAAATTGTACATCACAGCGTAAATAGACACATCTCATTCTGAAGAGTTTCTCATACATTCACCTGAAAATTAGCCCCTAGATTAGTTCACCTGATGATTAAACACTCTGATGTTACCTTGGGTGGAGGGTTATGATAGGTTAGGTTAGGTTAACATTTGGGTGGTTAATTTTACGGTGAAATAGCTGGGAGGGTTAAACTTAAGGTGAATTAATCCGTCAGCAAAGGTCAACCACCGTCAGCAGGGGAGTCAACCACCGCCAGCAGGGGAGTCAACCACCGCCAGCAGGAGTCAACCACAGTCAACAGGAGTCAGCCACAGTCAACAGGGGAAGTCAACACACTATCAGCAGGAGTCAGCCACAGTCAACAGGGGAGTCAACCACCGTCAGCAGGGGAGTCAACCACCGCCAGCAGGGGAGTCAACCACCGCCAGCAGGGGAGTCAACCACAGTCAACACAACCACAGTCAACAGGAGTTAGCCACAGTCAATAGGGGAAGTCAACACTATCAGCAGGAGTCAGCCACAGTCAACAGGGGAGTCAACCACCGTCAGCAGGGGAGTCAACCACCGCCAGCAGGGGAGTCAACCACCAGCAGGAGTCAGTCAACAGGAGTTAGAGTCAACAGGGGAGATCAGCCGCAATCAGTGGAAAGGAGTCAACATCAACCACCGTCAGCAGGGGAGTCAACCACCGTCAACAGCAGGGGAGTCAACCACCGTCAGCAGGGGAGTCAACCACAGTCAGGCCAGCAGAGTTACCGTGCACAGTCAATTAGGCGGAAGTCAACCACTCATGAGTTCAGCCACAGTCAACAGGCAGGAGTCAACCACCTTCCAGCAGGGGAAGTCAACCACCATCAGCAGGGGAGTCAACCACCGCCAGCAGGGGAGTCAACCACCGTCAACCACCATCAGCAGGGGAGTCAACCACCGTCAGCAGGGGAGTCAACCAACGTGAGGGGCAACATGCCTCGGTTCGCCAGTAATTTCCCATGATTTTACAACTCTTCCATGGAAGCATTGATCCAATGTCGTTATTCCACAGCAAATTTAGTGTTGCGAGCCAAACGGTGCTCGGCTTTCTCTTGGTAACGCAGCTGAAGAGTAACCACGAGCATCTACTTTATTTCAAACCTCTAAAAGTATTAGTAAATAAAAAAGAAAGAATAAAAAAATAACAGAAGTTGGTAGAACGTGCGTGTGAAGGACGTCACGTCCGGTAAGGTGAATGTTCGAACTTCCACTATGTCCCTCAGTTCCTGACGAAGTCGGTGCTGGAGGTGTGGGTTGCGGGCCAGGTAGTAGGAGACGAAGGCCATGGTGCCGGCTGTAGTGTCATGACCCACGATAAGGAATAGGACGGACTGAGCGACGATCGTCGAGTCTTTTATAGCTGGAAAGGAGAGACCAAGAGGTAGTGCTCAGCAGGAAGTGGTCGAGTTGTACTGTACAGTAATGTGAAAGAGCATCGAACCTAACCTAACCTAACCGAAAACGTTGATAATTTTACTCTTGGTGAGATATGATACAATTATATAATGACAAGAAACCTTTAGCACAGTCAAATATAAGTTAATCTCAGTTTCACGTAGTCTGGCCTAAACACACATGAGCTTATCTTATTATACCCCAGTCTAATATAACATAACCTAATCTAACCCCAGTATAACCTAACCTAACCTAACCTAACCTAACCTAACTTAACCTAACCTCATCCCAGACAAACTTAAACTAGCTTAAACGTATTCCAGTCTAATCTAACTTATCCTACTCTGAGAACATAATAAGAATGAAAGAAACCTGAGCAGCGTTAGGTTAAGAAAGGCTTTACTTGTACCTTGATCCCCCATACAAACTATTGCAAGTTAATAAAAGATCATTGTCAAACTGAACGTCCACACCTACAGTACGAGATCTTAACCCAAGAGAGTAAAACAGTACAGAGGAAAAGTCGTATTTTAAGTGACACCCAATGGGTTTCAAGTCTTGCAATCACATAAAACAAAGAAATAAATAAAATAATGAGAAAATGACGTCCCATGCTACTTAAGTTGCTACTTAATCAAAAAGCTTATTACGATGCTTGTTTTGTTTTTTTTGTCAGCTGCATGTTGTGTTGTACACTTGGCATTAATCTGTCAATGCATACTAATGGGAGCTCAGATTGGCAGCTAATAAATTCAAAGAACTAAACCTATCGTGAGCAGAATCTACACAATAAAATTCGTTGATTAGCGGTGTCACAGTATTTCCTTGGCACCTCTTAAAAACTTTAAATGAAAGAAATTACAAATACTGTGAAAAAAAGTTATTCTTTACATTGATACACTGTAAACTGTTAGGCCCCGCTGAATCTATTTGGAGATCAACAGCCAACACCAACTTTTAAGCGTGATTAAATTACAGGGGAACAAAATATTGTAATTTAGACAACAGTTAAATCTCGTGTGATTAGTCACTTTAAAACCCCGTCAAGTGCAGACAAAATATATTCTTTCCTTTTTAATTTTTCTTACAATTAACTGATCGCCTTCTGTTTGTCCCTCAGGGAGAAGAAAATCATCCTCCCAACCGATGCCAAATCTGAATTTAAACAAATACTAAACAAAGACCTGAACAACACTCACGGTACTTAGGTGTCTTGGTGTTCGAGTTGCTCTGCTCCTCCCGCTGTTCTAGCAACAGGTCCAGGAAGTCTCCCCGCTTCACTCCCATCTCTCTATTCTTAATTGTCTCCTCCACCACGCGCTGGAAGAACAGGAACGGTGGAGTGGTAAAAGAAATCCCGATTGCATTCAACACTGAATTAGGTAGCGTTAACAGAGCTATTCCCCGTAATATTCCCCGCGCGCTGATGGCGTTCAGCTCACTTGCTTTCTTGCAAAATTCTTCCTCCTCATTGTTGATGGAGTTGCACTCGATACCGAAAGCACAAGTACCTATAACATCCATGACATAACGGGCGTAAATTGTCTTTGTCTTAACGAAAGATTTCTCTTGGCAGTGTCGCTGAAGACGTTCTATTAAAGCATCTGCTTTCTCCTCCACTAGGTGGTACATTTGACGCATCCTGCCGGAGGTGAAAGTTGGGGACATAATAGACCTGACGCCTTTCCAGTGGCTGCCGTTGATGAGAAAAAGCATTTCTCTCAAGCATTCGTCTTTCTTGGAATTACCAAATGTCCTTCGCTCGCTGAAGTGGTCAAAGTCCTGAATCATAATGCGCTTGACTAGCCCAGGGTCACGCACGATCAGGGACGGCTTGAAGATCTCGTAGGCGCCTACGAAGTTGTTCCCTTCATTCTCGTGATACGTCTGGGTGAAGAGAAACATTAACATGTATTTAAATAACATGTAGATGTTATAGGATCAAACACGGGGGCACATTATGAAAATAGTTGTGGCGTCATGAACAAATAGTATTTTTCTTTTAAGTAAGACATTAGGATCTCGGTTCATACTTGTAAATTGTTTTGGGGGTTGAAATTCTTGGATGATGGCAGGTAAGTGTTGTCTTAAATCATGTAAATATTTGCTACTGTAGCTACTAAGGGTATTACAGCTGACTGATTTAACCAATAGCATTGTTATAGAATATCAACATTTGAACTAAGAAACTTAAGGACAAAATAAACAATTTGTTTTACTTGAACATTTCTTACACGACAGTGTGATTAGAGTTAACAGATTGTTGATATTGTACAGAGAACTGTGAGAGGCTGTGTAGTGTCATGGGTGAGGCCAGGGCTGGTCTTTGGGGGTGAAGCGGTGAGAGGGACCCAGGCTCACCAGCAGGGGTTAAAAACAACCTCGGGTAATAAAGCTCACCTGAATCACAAATTCACCATATTGTAATACCGGTAAAGGCTAGTGCTACTTCAGAACAGGGATGTGCCCTTCTGAGGGCCGAACTTCTGACCGAGTTAGAGAGGGTCAAGGAAGAAAACTTGAAATTAAAGGAAGTGTTAGTGAAGATGAAGAAAGAAACAAGAGAAGGAAAGCCAGTGTCTGACGAAAACTCAGGAGAATGGAAGGTTGTGAGGAGAGGAACGACCAAACTGGTGGTAAGAAAACACACCAAGGATAAGACAGCAGCAGCTAAGTGTAAAAACTCTTTTAGTCCTTTGATAGACGAATTGGACGTTAGCATAGTCAGGGAGAGGGTGAACAAGGAAGGTAAGAAAACCTTAATTGTTGGCGATTACCAGGTACGGTATTTGGATAGAGCTTTTTGTGGTAAAAATAAAAATAGGATGGGGGTTTGCTTGCCAGAAACTGGGGTGGGGGATATAGTTGACAGGATGGACAATATCTTGTCTGGTAATGGGAACAAACCTATTATCTGCCTCAGTGCAGAAGGCAATGATATTAGCCGGTGTTTTTGTGAGGAGCTCCTTGATACGTTCAAGACAGCTATAGAACATATTAGGTAGACGGGAGGGATCCCTATCATATGGGGTGTCCTGTCTAGAAAGAAAGGTGGCAATGAATGGTTGTCAAGGGCAGTTGGTGTCAACGGCAGTTTTGACAGATATTGCAAGTCAATATCAGTCCCATTCGTGGGCAACTGGGACAACTTTTACGGAAGAAGGGACCTTTATGCTACGGATGAGGTACATCTGTCTAGGGCTGGGGTGGCATCTCTGGCTGGCTATCTGAAAAGGGCAATTCCAAAAATGTCGAAATCTTTAAACTGCTAGGGCAACATATGGGTACGGAGGTGGAGGAGACTGCAGTGGCAGAGGATAAACAAAGTGAAAGGTTACAGAGAAATAGTGCTAGGAATGATGACGAAACTAATTTAGGCAGGGAGTTAAAACCCAAACGCGTCAAAGAGAGGACTCAGAACACGAATAACGTAAATGTCTATTACTCAAACAGTAGGAGTATGAGAAACAAAATGGATGAAATCAGGGCGTTGGAATGTACCTAAAAAAATCGATATAATAGCATTCACCGAAACATGGATAAACTTAGACTCACGTAAGTTACCTGTCGAGTACCAAATTGCAGGTTGCAAATTATGCCATACTGATAGGCAGATTAGGAAAGGTGGCGGAGTAGCAATCTATGTCAGGGATAATGTGAAATGTGAAATAAATTAGGAAATAAAAACTGAACTGAATAAAGAATCAATGTTGATAGAATTAACCGATGGTAGGGGAAATCTAATCACCTCCTAATCTTGATAGAGTTAATGAGCGACTTATTTGGGATGAAATAACACAGGGCATCCAGACACAGCAACGTCTGTATAGTAGGCGACTTTAACTTTA